GTAATTGTCTGCTATGAAAACAAAAATTCTTAAAAAGGAAAATGGATAAAAACTACATCTACACAGTAATTCAGTACACGAGCACATACCATAGCAGTATGTTATGGTTTGGGATTTACTGTTTCAACATCCTTATGATTTATATCCAGCCTTTGGTCAGCCTGGAGATGCTTTCGAGGATGTGTCCGAAGTGAGTGATGAGTAAAGCTTACTGTTTCTGTGTCTGTGTGGCTGACCGACCGTCTGTGTGTGCGTGTCTGTGTTCCAGACTCAGAAAAGGACCACGGGGAGCCTGGAAACGGGATTGCCCAGTGGACACTGAACGAACAGCTCTTCCCCTGTTCCGTCTGTGGCAAGGTGTTCGGTAGACAGCAGACTCTTTCTAGACATGTGTCTCTACACACAGGTAAATAACGAGCATAATAATCATTAGCATATGTGCACATTGGCTTGAACATTTACATCTTTGCTAACGGATGGATGTTAGCTGCTGTGTTTGTGCGTGTGTGCTTGTGCTGCCCACAGTAAGTAAATAAGGTTGACTAGACTAGATTACCCTTCCTTTAAAGAGATTACTACTATGATTAGTCTCACTGGGAAAACTGCCCGTCTAATTACCCAGCGAGAAGGATGCCTCACACACATACGTACTCTCTCACACACACACACACACACACACACACACACCACTAATTCTGATGCAGCTACGATTGGCTCCTCTTTCACCTTCTCTCACACTCACAGGACACTTAGAATGAAGTTGTATCCTCCCCAGTGTCCTGATTACACTGTTTTCAAACTTGCCCCTTATTTGTTCCCAGTTGATCCATTCTTCCCCATCACTGTCTTCAATCCCTCTCTCGATCCTTATTAGGGGGAAAAATATCCTACTTATACAATTTTATTTAAAGCAAATTATTCCAGACTAGAAATTAATGCAACCTTCTTGGGATAGCAGGCTAAATCAGTAAGCGCACAAATGGAGACTTGTGTACAAAATGCCCCCACACAATTGGACATGCTCTAACATTTTGTGTGAGCACACAACACGACACGCACACACACCATCTGAGAGTGTTGGCTGTGAACAGCTTGGCCACACCACAGAGAGCAGAAGCAGGGGCATATGTCAGTGTGATGGTCTTTTTGGTTTCCCCGGCGACATAAAGGTTGCCTGGCTTCATGTCCTTGGGGCCAATGGGGTGTGTGTGTGTGTGTGTGTGTGTTTGAGGGGGAGTTAGATGGCTAAGATGTGTTATGTTGATTTGTTTGCAGCAAAAAGGAATTTTGTGCTTTTGCATTTGATTTTTTTTTTTTTATATAATGCTCAAAAATAAGAAGAGATTATGTTTGCACGTCTCACGCTGTTACGATCTTGTGGAATCTGCGAGAACATCCAGGTGCTGCTCAGAGAAATAGATTTTTTTTTGTCAGACATTTCTTCCTCTTCCCAGTATTATAGTTACTGCTAGGGTCAGGTGACGGTCGGGCAGGGTTAGGTATTAAGTAATTAGGTTTAAGCTCACTTTAAAGGCTCACAGCCTGAGCCAACTTAATGGAATATCATCACAGGTAATGTTTACAGGAACCTGGGGTCTTGTGTTTTTGTGTATTTTCTTGCAGAAGAGAGGAAGTACAAGTGTCACCTGTGTCCTTACGCAGCCAAGTGCAGGGCTAACCTCAATCAGCACCTGACCATCCACTCTGTCAAACTGGTCAACACAGACGCAGAGCAGATCGTCAGCGCTGTTACTGCTGACTCTGCCGAGCGCAAGAACTGCCCTTACTACTACAGGTAGCGGTCACACACAAAAACAACACCAGCCTCTGTCAGGGTGTCTCAGGCCAGTCTAAGAGATCGTAAAGGGGCCTGATCACAGAATCTTTGGTTGATTATTATATGCTGCTTTACATAATCCTAATATATTCTCACCTTACTTTCTCCATAGCTGCTCTGTTTTGTACATTTGTTTTTGTGAGTCAGTTATTTGGCCTTAAAGGAACAGCTTTTCATTTTGTTCTTTCCAAGAGTTAGATGAGAAGATCAGTACCACACTGATTATCTAAATTTCAAGCCATGGTCCAGAGAAGGTTGGCTTTGTCTAGTGTAAAGATTGAATGTAGGGA